TATCTATCACTTTTAAAGTTCACACAGTGTCTTTCCCAAATAGTGACCCACCTCTGTGTACATGGACATGCTTGAGGACGTGATAGAGCAACACTGCCACCTATGATGGGCTACACCACCCTGCAGATAAACTTGGACTGATAAGTCATGCAGTATCAGTCTTTGAGGTTGTTTCCAGACTGACTTGGTTCGCATGATAATGTTTTGTTATTTAATTGTCCTAAATATGAACTAATTAATCTTTTTTAAATCCAAACTATTCACCAGACATTTCACATTTCTTTTAATTCACAGGAAAGCTCCCAGCGTTACAGCGAGATGTAATTCACACTGTTCCACCATCGGGACACAGACACAGACAGACATATCCCCGATACATAGATATTTGCTTAGTTTGTTTTATTTATGCTGTTTTTTCATGTATGTGTTTTTTTAAGATAAGCACTGAAAAGTTTAATGTGAGTCTTACATTGGTGAAGTGGAGTTCTGGGGAAAGTTTTCTGAAAATAGAAAAACAACTCACCAGAACTGACTTTGGCTACAATGCTGTTAACAAACTTAAATAATGTTAATGGACAATTTAATTGATAATAAATAACTTATTCCTAGAATAGATCTTCCTGCTTCCCAACATACTACACATACTGAGTAAGTGTCTGTCAAAATGAAAGATTTAAGTTTTATTGTTCTTGTATAGTTTTCTTTATTTCTATTCTTATTTTAATATTGTATCCTTCTAATTATGTGTTTAACACTTCTCTTTTTACTGTATTTATTTCTTCCCTTGTGCTGCTGCAACACCTGAATTTCTCCTCTGGGCATCAATAATGGCTGATCTTATCTTATCACAGACACAAAAGGAAATTTATATCCAATACTACTACACACACAACACATGTTCTTACAAGTTTGCTTTTTTTTCATTTAGGTGCACTTGAGTGGAAAAAACTCTGCTTTTATCCTGGATTTATTTTCCATAAGAGTTATGTGTACAGTGCTTGTTCTTTTTAGCAGTAATATCAGGGTTTGACCTAGTCCTGTGAAAAATTGTTACAAATAAGAGAAGACTGCCTCATTTGGATATACAGAAGGTATCTTTCAGAGTGACTGAATGTCATCTTGGTGGATTTTTGAAGCCAGTGATTGACACGTGCATGTGGAGGAATGACTGCAAAGAAAAAAGAGATGAAAAAGAGGAGAGATCATACGGGGGAACCTGCAGAACAATTATTAATTAAATTACCAGAGCTGTTATTGAACATTTTAATGTTTTCTTTTTATAGGCCAATGTGGGAAATGCACTTTTTTAGATTTGGTAGTCAATGTATTGATTTGGTGATGCCTATGTGTTTGTCTGAGTTTAAGTTATGAGGATCAGAGGTCAGATCAATACAGTCAACTGAGCTCTACACTGTAACATTAAAGGGACATTGTACTGGGGACATTATACTACGGTATTTGATATAAGATTAACATATGAATGAATGACTGATTGAATCAGCTTCGTCAGGAGATCAGCTACAGTTGTTCTGTTCACCTGGTGGTATATAATGCAAGGCACTCTGAGAGTCCTTTCAGAGAACAACCATGTCAAGGGCTTTAATTTATAATTTACAATGCAGGGTTGTATAATAAAATTTAGTACATGACGGTATCACATTACTCTTATATGTACTGTACTTTGCTCTTACTAATCAAACCACTGTGTCACTTGAGACAGTCCTGCAGGATCAGTGTAAGTGCAACAGTGTTCATGGGTAGACTATCATCAATATGGCCACCAAGCTTAACTAAACCAAACTAAAGATCCTTCACATGTTCTGCACACAGCTGGATGTTACTCAAGATAAACACACATACCTCGGAACAAACTGTGCTCTCAAGACTACCCAGCTAACTGATAAGGCCAAAGGAGCTGATCTCCTGGCGACATCTACTGGAGAAACTGCAGTGGTGTTGTTGCAAAGTAAAATAAAATAAAAAAAAAAACTTGTCGTCCTCTGCTGGTGAGAAAGCAAATCAACAGGGCTGTGAGCCTTTCAGTAGACCTACAACAGCTTCCTAAATCACATTTTACACCTTCATTGTTGAGGCAATTTCACAATTTAAAGTTGTCCAACATATACAAGGATATAAATTCAAACTCCGATTGTGTGATTTATAAGTAGATAAGAGCGGTGCATACAACTATCTTTACGGATCATCTCCTTTTGTCAATGAGTTGCAATGAGTAAAATCCTGTAAATAGAGAAATAGACCACATGATTGGGATTGGTTTTAAGTAGAGGAATATGTTGAGGGGGAATAAAATTACTATACATCAATGTAAAAGTATAAATATTCACGACATATCATCTTTTTATCCTAATCTTACTTAGTTTATAAAGTATTCCTTAATTTTGTTTTCACATTATTGCTTCGTAAATTCAGTTAATGCAAATAGGAGTTAATAAAATCACACACTGAACAGGGGGATGACTTTATTTAAATGGTAAGCAAACACATCTTATTGGCCCTGGTGTCTGAAAAAAAAAAAAAAAAAAAAAAAAACCTGCATCTGTCATGCGTTACACCGCTGTCGTAAAACGTTTCTGTCTGCTGTTGCAATGGCGTTTGCTGCGACAGCACTTTGCGGCAGCAGGGAAATCGAGGAGAAAGCAGCGACAAACGTCGCCAGCGGATACGTTATCGCCTCAAACACCACTGGATTTATGTAATATTCGGTGAACTACCTTGTATATTGATTGTATATATCTTCGCCTTGTGGATGAGATTGTGTTCAACGTTTTCCAAGCGTGAATCTCCACCTTAATGCGGTGGGATGGCCACAGTGCCGCCTGGGCCTAGTAGCGCACTGCCTGCATCCCCGGCTGAAAGTCCTCCTTTCCCCGGGGCTGGGAGCGCGGAGCCGGCGGGGGAAGACGGAGAGCCGGCCTGCCACCGGGAGGACCGTGTGTCCGCCGGTACGGGGAAGAAGTCGCAGCCGTTGGGCGACGTCAACACGTCGGTTAAGAATAAGCAGAAAAACATGCTAGCGCGAGCTAGCCCGGCGGCGCTGCACCTCAAAATGCAGCCGCGAGAGCAGCAGCTAAACGGGTTGTCCAGCTCCTCAGAGGACGCGGACAGCCACCAGCACACCGACAGCCGGCCCGACAACCCCAGACCGTCCGTGGACAGCTGTGATAGCAGCGGCAGCAGTGAGGAGGCTCCGACGGCTAGAAACAATAGTGAGCGTTGCCAGCACGAAGGCCACAGCCCCTTCTCCAAAAACGGCAGTCACTCTCCGCTGGTTAACAATAGCATGAACGGGATGCCGGGTTTCACGAGAACTGACGCGGCCCACAGCCACCCTGGGGGCGAAGGGAAGGGGGAGTTTGACCACACGGAGCCACCGAGACCGCCCACCGTCGAGCCGCCGGACGCTGCCNNGGCGGAGAGGAGAGCCCCGCTGACCCGCAGCAGCAACCACCGGCCGAGGAGCTGGCCCGGCTCGACCTGAGCAGCTCTGCCGGCCGAGCGGAAGAGGATAGCCACGGCATCCGCTATGTCCGCTACGAGTCCGAACTTCAGATGCCGTGGATCATGAGACTGATCACCAAGGACTTGTCTGAGCCTTATTCAATTTACACGTACAGGTACTTCATCCACAACTGGCCGCAGCTCTGCTTTCTGGTGAGTACGACACTGACACCATCGCAGTGTGAAGAAAATGACAGAGTTCACTCTTTAGCTAGAAGTCAGCGGCTACCTGAGGTTGAATAGCGTTATTGGGACTGGGTGTGACTGCATGCTCAGAGCTTTCTCCTGTCAGTGTGCAGCTGATAAACACACACATGTAAAGGTTTGGAGTTTTCTGTCACGAATCCTTGTTTGTTTTGTGGATTGCAGACTGAAGTAATAGCTGTCCAGTCGAGAAATGTTGGACTGACATGACGATATCCTCTCGTAGTTCATCACTGATGTCTGGGTCTTTTGTCCAGTCAAATGTGTGCAGGAGTTTAAGGGCAAGCAAAGTTGTAAAGCCTTTACTTTCCAGTGTTCGTTAAGAGCAATGTGCTTAAAGTAGGTTCCTCTGGCATCCACCGTGTCCAGTTAGGGGTTTCTAAAACACTGTCCTCCCCTGGTCATTCCTTAGTTTATCCTCTGAGCCTCAAGGTCGTAAACTTCCTAGTTCCAGTTTGTCTGGAACGCCACATGTGACATAAGAGGAAGTGCCGTGAAATAAAGGTCAGAGGTCAAATCGGAGACAGCCAGCAGAACTGGCTGGATGACAGCGACTGTACAGGAACTGTCGCTAGGCTTTCAGCTGCCACCCCGAGTAGACACTCCTAACCTTACTCTGTGTGTGTGTGTGTGTGTGTGTGTGTTGTGTGTGTAAGCAAGGCGATGTGGAGCAGGAGTGTGTCGGAGCCATAGTATGTAAGCTTGACATGCACAAGAAGATGTTCCGTCGTGGCTACATCGCCATGCTGGCCGTGGACTCAAAACACAGAAGGAAAAGCATCGGTGAGACGTCCCGTACAGAACAAACACAGGAACTGGGAGCTTTCATAATGTGGAGCGGAGACCAAGTTGAGCAAGAGCTTCTTCTGTGCTCTCCTTGACAACCAAATCTCTTTATGCAAATGCAGCATTTAGATAAGTTATGCACTCTTAGTTGATGTGTAACACTGTGGCAGTGTATTTCTTTTTGCCTTTCTTATACTATCAGACATCAAGCCTGGAAAAATAGAAGAGAAAAAACAAGTGTTGTCTTAAAAGTTTGTGTTTTGTTTACTTGCCTGACATCACTGACTTTCGGCTCTTCTGTGTCAGGTACTAATCTGGTGAAGAAGGCCATCTATGCCATGGTGGAGGGTGACTGTGACGAGGTAAGATGCAGAGACTGGAGGACACGTGTCTTCCTTTTGTCAAACCATATTTGAATCCATCCAGAGAATACTTTAAGTTTTTGAAAAAAGGCTTAAACACACGTATGGGCTTGTGCCAACACGCACAGGCTTTGTGCCTGACATTGGCACACACTCACAAGTTGTATGCCAGCGTACTCACTCTCATTGTTAATGTAGTCAGTAGACCACAAGACAGTCTTGCATTCACTGAACCAGATTGTACATTAAAAGAAGAAGAAACAAAAAATCCCTGGAAAATACAGTTAACCCCAAACAAATGACAACACATTGGAAAATGATTAAAATAAACCTTTTGTGTGCATTCGGTCCTTTGTTTGAGCCCCCTGTGTGAGCATGAACCTAAAGACAACCAAAAGGAGGAGAAAAACGGTTATATAGTGTTTCAAGGCACACTTTTCTTTCTCCGTCCTTCACTTAGCTTGCTGGTCACCTTGGTTCGATTGTCAGCTACTTTCAGTATCTTCCTTGTACCACAAGCTATTTCACTTCCTCTGCTCATCCCTGAATGGCTGCTCTCTCACTCACCTGCTTCTTACACACACAATACACAGCGTACATCCTGAAACCTCCAGACGTTTGAGGTGGAAATTAGATTCCGCATTTATCTCTCCCCTGTCTCTTTGTTGACTGAGACCAAAGGACTGACACCGTGATTCACCACAGTAAGACTTTTTGGTGTGATTGTGTTCACACAAGGCTACATGCTTTTATAGAAAGATAAATATAGAATATTGACTGAAATGCATTACTTAAAGCTACTGCCAACAGTTGTTTCAAGGCATTTCGTAATATTTTAGCGACTTCCAGGCCCCACTGGCTTGTGGCTTTGTTGGTGGCTCTCAAATGCTTGAAGGAAAATCTCCCTGACAACAAAATTCTGTTTGTCTAAAGTGTTTAAGTTTCCCGACTGCTTATAAATGCAGAGCCTGTCATCAGCAAACATTTACAACGTAAATGTCAAACCTTCCTTGAATGCACAAAGGAGAATTTGCTGAGCCACCCCTTCTTGCAGCTGCATTACAACGTAATAACATATGTGACAGTATGTTGCTCAGGGTCACTACAGCGGCATGTTGAAAGCAATGTTTGCTTGATTGGCAAATTGTAGTGCAACGAATGGAAACTACGAGCTGCTGGGAAGGGAGGAAACTGTTGTAATAACTCGTATACACGTTAAAAACTGGTAGTTGGCAAAGTTCACAGTGTTTTATGAAAAATACTCGACCCCTCTTTGTGTTTTATATTGCGCAGTATTGAATCAAAGTGGATCTCATTGGAGTTGTTTTTTTTACATTGCCATTCATTTTGTTGTCTCCACCAAACATTGACTCATTGATGTACTTGAACACTTCTGTTTAATTATGCTTAATATAGTTGAGGGTTTCTGTTCATCGGTGTAAAACAAATCCACTGTAATGATGTGTTTTTAACAGAAGCTGAAAAACAAGGTTGTTGAATAGTTTTTACAGGCGCTGTCCATTAACAGTAATACTCCAACAGTTCAAGAGGTTTGTTTATTTTATTATTTATATCTCTCTTTTGCTTTTATTCAGGAGATAAATGTGTTGATGTTTTAATAGGTGTTCTCACAGAAGACATTCAATTATGCCACAGAGGGAAAAGCACTGGTGTAAATAATAACGTTAACGCTGGTTGAATTTTCCTCCACTCCTTGACAGCAGTGGGGGACATAAAGGTGTATTTCAACTTCACTCAGTTGTCTTTGGATGTGTGTAAATGTAGAAATAGAACATGAGACGTTGTTGTGTAATTAGCAGCTAGCTTACTCACTGAAGCTATTCTTGACCAACAGCCGCTGACCCCCCAAACTACACACAGTGTGTCTGACATCATCTGCCTTAAAGCTAATTTGCTGCCTTTGCATACTTTTATAATAATGTACAAAACCCAGCTGACTTGTCTTGGAAGTATCTGCGACGAGCTTGCCAGCCAACAAGATACAACATGAAACTAAAACAGGTTTAGAGTTGTGGGGTTGAGTGTGTTTTGTTTATTGAGGTTAAACCTAGTGCTTAGCTTAGGATAAACCACAAAGCTATCACTGCACTGAACCGGCAGAGATGAAATTGATATTGATCCCATGACAGCAAGTAAGTTCATTTCCAATAATGCTCCATTTTTCTTTAATGGGATAAAACATGCAAACGACTCCTGAGGGAACCCAAACAGTCCACAACAACCAAATACATCTTTCATGCCAGGTTCTGAGAAAGTAGTAAACCTTTATATGAAACCTTATCAGTCCGCTCATGTACACAACAACGTACTGACATGGCCCTCTGTGTGTCCCCCAGGTTGTATTGGAGACTGAAATCACCAACAAATCAGCCCTGAAGCTGTACGAGAACTTGGGGTTTGTCAGAGACAAGAGGCTGTTCAGATACTACCTGAATGGAGTGGACGCGCTGCGGCTCAAACTGTGGCTCCGCTAGAGGAAAGAAGAGGGGGACAGGGGAGGATGGGACAGCGGGTGCTGTTCACCTCAAACACTATCAGCTTGACAGCCTCAGCTCTGCCCTGGTCATTTCACTCTTCACACACACACACACACACACACACACACAAATTCCCACACAGTACACACACAGGAGTATGCACATAGGTATGCATAGACACGCAGACGCACCCTCTTTTTGTCCTTGACCTCTGAACAACTGTTGTTTAGGCAGAAACAGACTGACATCCCACCTGATGTTTTCATGAAGGGGCCCCTGATACTTTCTGTGACGAGGAGGGGGGGGGGCACGCGAGGGTGGTCTCTGGGATGACCTCGACTGGGGACTAGTTGACCCTTTTGACCTTCAAGCTTGGATGCCACATTGACCGCGACGCGAGGTGTGCGACAGCTCAAGTGAAGACGTGCGTCCGAAAACCCCCCGAGGACATGGCACCACACCAAATCCTCCTGCAGAACACAGGACAAACACAGACTTAAAGAAAAACAACACCATGTGAAACAACGAAGCAGGGCGGCAAAAACAGACTGGGAAGAAAATATTTGTGGAGTTTATTTTTGTGTTTCTTTTTTAACCTTGTAATTTGGACGGTTGATTGAAAAGCTATAGTATGACTGAGTGTTTGTACCGCCTCATGTTTTTTTTTTGTTTTTTTTTTTTGTTTTTTTTTTGGAAAACGAGTGTTTGGTCTGTTTTTGTGTGCATGTGAATGTGGCGTGGTTGGATTCACTGTGAGCAAGTGAACGTGTTTGTGTGACTGTGCGTCGTATGTTTTCCTCTCCCCCATCCTGTCCAGTGGGCGCAGCTGCCTCAGCCTCCAGGACTGAAGCCTGTAAAGATATGCATGCATTTATTTTAATGTGAGGTGCGGGGTGTGGGGGGGGGGGGCGTGAAGAGTGTGTGTTGATTTAACCAGTCTAACCAGTCTGAGGCTAACCCCTCCGAATCCTCGAATCCTTCCCTGTGTATGGGGTAAGCATGTTGGTGCGGAGCAGTTGATCGAAACAAATCAATCCATTAGCACCTCAAACTTTGCCCAACCGGTGGAGCTGCCACCCTTTTTCGCTTCAGTGTCCTTCACTAAATCTCTCATCATCAAACCCTGACAGTATGGATGGGTGAGTTTTCGTTTTTCCCCAAACGCACTGCCAGCTGCTGCAAAATCCCTAAAAAGGAGAAAATCGGAGTCTCATACCATAGACTCCTTGCCAATGATGGTGTGGTCAAACGTGTCCTCTCAGTTTACTCCTTTCTAGATTATTCTAACTGTTTCTCCTCATTGCAAGTGCCACTCGACGCATCAACACTCTTCGACCACAACTGCAGTGATCACACAGCAGCCTCGGCCCCCGGCTCTGGACTGCGCTCGGCACCAGACCGGAGGCGAAGTGTTACATATGCTGGATTCCTGTTTGAGTATGCTGTGTGCGTGTTTGTGTTTATCTCTTGATAAAAAGGAAAAAATAGACAAGTATTCTTAGCAGATTATATTTTATTCTTGTGTTCGCTTTCAGTTTATTTAGATGGTCTACTTTACACCTGTATAACTTCATGCTGCTCAAAAGCGGCTGAGTCCACAATGCACTTCCCAGGTGCCCTAACTCGATGCACAACCAACCTCGCTAACATTTCAAGATCTCCAGCCTGGAACACGTCATAGATGCACCCGGACGTTCCACTTCACACTAATTATGGCAAAGAAAGTTTGCTTCAGCCGCTTTTTGTTTTTTCTTAAAAAGTAAAATGAACAAAGGTCAGATGCACATCTTTGGAAATTGCTGCAGTGTGTATGTGTACGTATGAAAGTGTCTTTGTGTGTCTTGTTATTTTGACAGCGGTGTGGATCTGTTCTGTTTGACTTTGATTTCTCTACTTTCAGAGGCCCCGTGCAGGAAAACCTGAGCCTTTTGAGGTGCTGTGCTTTTGTTCCAGCCTAATAAGAACAACAGGAAGGAACAAATCACACACTTTTTTAAAGCTTTCCTGAATTGGAGTTAGTAATTAATGCAATAGAAAGGGCAGCATGCAGTTGGGTTGATCGTTGAGGGGGACAGTAAACCCTAAATCAAACATTTGGAACAACCTACGTCACAAGTTGTAAATGCAATTATTTTAAGTAAACTTCAAATTATGCAATTGGACTTTTGTGTGCTTTTATCCTGCCTAAATATTAGACTAGAAAGCACTGTGAGACACTGCCATGTGGCACAACTGAATCAGAGTAAAATCTGCTCCAAAATATTGACTACAGAACAAACGCTGTCTCTGAGAAGCATTCATGGTAGTCAGATGCTATAATGATTTAAGGACCGATGAGCAAGTCTTTATGAATGACACTACAGGGTCCTGTCTGTGTTTTGGGTTTATTTCCCCTTTCAGCAGTTAATCAAAGATATGTCGTCCACAGGAGCCCAGGACTGAAAGGGAGAGTAGATGTTTACAGAGTTTCCACCCATAAAACAGTCCCAGTATGTAAGTGTATGTCTGTGTGCATTTGGAGCAATGGATCAGATGACCTATATTTCTTTCTTTTTTTTTTTTTCAGATTTGTATATGAGTGTTGTTCTATTCATCAGATATATTGAGAGCATGTTTTTTTTTTTGAGAATCATTTGTTGGGAAGGGGTCGGTTTTGGTTGATTTATCAGATTTGATTTTTCATTTTAATTTCTGTGCTACTTTAGCCCATCCAGAGGTGTTAGGAGAATTCTGAGCAGTTCATAGTGGGCATATGAAAGTGCTCTAGACACCAGACACCGACTGTTTTTACTGCTCATCTGACACTCTATTTCAATAGTCACCCTGTGTAAACGCCTTCTGGTTTATTTTGGAGGTTTAAAATCTTCTGTCCCTGTGTTGGACACTCGTTTCCCCTCTTCTGTGTCCCGTCACTGTCCCAGCCTTTTCTTCTTTTTACACTGAGACTACTTACGAATTAAAGGACAGGATAGGTAACACCTTACAAAATTAGCCTCCTTTAAACTAGACGTCAGTACAACGGGGTGTTCTAAATTTTGAAGGAAAAGGGTCTGTTATCTTCTTTTTTTTGTTGTACTCCTGTGAAACTCTGGCAGTTCCATTAGGTATATGGGCATTACAGCCTGTCACAAAGAGCCAAAGGGCTCTGTTTAGACCATGATCACAGACTGAAGGGCTTCGTCATCAATATCAGTTTGTAGCCATGGCTCGTGATGTTGCATAGTTTTCTCAGCTCTCTCTGACAATGCATTTGGAATAAGTTTTGACTTGACATGCCAGTTCAGTGTTCACAGATGTCAGAAGCAGTTTTTTCCTCATTCAGGACCTCCACTGCGCTATCCAGGTGGCTGATTCTAACAATCACAACCCCACTCCTCTGTCCTCACCTGGGGCGACATCTGCCATCCTACATTTTGAGTGTTACAATCATGAACTCCCCCAGAAACCAGTTTGTTAGTCAGATAAACAAGATTTATCTTGGCCTGCGCCACAAAAAGCTGTGGTCCCTGCAACCAACCAACCACAGGGGCTTCCTGCAGTCTTTTCGAGGCAGCCAGCACCGCCTCCATCCACGAAGTGTGCAAAGGGGAGAGCAAAAGGTTTTTTTGCATGTCAGATTTCTGTTTGCCCTGTTCCTCTTCCCTGTCCCCTTCTCTTGATTTTGATCTGGAAATGTCCGATAGCTTTTATTTAATGTGGAAAAAGAACACAGAAATAAATTATTTGATTTTTTTAATGCTGTAAACTGGGTTATCTTGTCTGCTGTCTGGAGTGGTTTTTATTTAAAACAATCCACACTTTTAAGCTGTATTATAAGAAAGAGTCTCAATCAGACATCTACAAGAATTGTTTATTTCATCACATCCTGTTTTGTATCTACATAAAGAGACAAAAGTGTCCACTATTTTACACCACACTTACCCTAAAACAGTATTATTGCATATAAACAGGCAGTTGTACATTAAGCTTATGAGATGGCTTATGAAGTTACAGAAAATATATTCAAACAAAAAGACAAGACCGTTATCGTCATTTGTGTTACAAATGCGTAGTGTTCAAATATTTCTTGTACCTTTTCTTTTTGATTTACAGCAGAGACGTTTTTATTAAATGATTCGTCTTATTTTCTCCTAAAATGTAAAGACTTTGACTAAAATTCATTGCATCTCAGCAATGTGACATTCTTGGGCCAAGTGTGTTGGCCAAAATGTCTCTTACCTGTCCTTGTCTGGACCATATTAATACACAGAAACTAATATTTTGCAAAATTAGTTGTTTAAAAAAATTCACGTGAAAATATTAATTTCTGCCCCAGTGTCTTTGTGCTTTTCCAGCCAACAGAAACACTTACGTCATTAGAAAGAAGTCTGAAATGGGTCTGTGTGTCAACAGACATAATCATGCACCTTTCAAAAGTCAAAGTGGCAAAAGAATGACTTAATATCAGAGTTATATTGTACATCAAAACCTGTTTTATGCTACATACTTTTGTAGGATTATGGTATTTTGTATGTGCGTCTCACAGTAACATTTATAAACAAATGCCTTTGAATAAAACATTTACATTTCCACAAAGTTCACATTTAAACGAAGCATTAATTGAAATGAATCCTGTGTAGGTTTCTAAAATGTGGAGATCTTGCTTTAAGAAATAGTTGAGCATTTTGGGAAACACAATTATTCCCTTTCTTGCAGAGATTTAGATGAGAAGACCAATACAACTCTTATTTCTGTCTGTGATAATTAATTATAATAATAATTATATTATAATAATTATTAATTATTAACTTAATTTTTTGTATGCGTTAAACAAACATGTCTATTAGTGATCTTTTAGGGGTTTGGTAGGCCGGTTTTGTTCCTTTGGGCAGAACCCAGTCTTTATGCTAAGTTAAGCTATCCGGCTGTTAGCTCCAGCTAACGGATGAATGGCATCAATCTCTTCATCTAACTCTCAGCAGTTTCCCAAAATATTAAACACTTCCTTTAAATATCTTAAATGTATACCAAGAAAGAAAAATGTATTTACACTAACAAGACTGACCCCAAATCAGCTACTTATACAGTAGCCTACATATATCTACATTTTTTTATGTAATGTAACTCTTCTACAGCCCTTTTTAATTTCTGGTCCTCACTTTCCCCCTCAACTCCACAAAGCCAAAACCTCAATGTACCAGAAACACTTCCATCCTGTCAACACCCTGCTAATGCATTTTGTTTTTTATGCAATATTATTTTTTATGTCAGTGCATCACACCAGTCCTGCCGAGCCATTAGAGTCAACATCACCTGACAACATTCAGAAAAGTGCTCACATTGGTACTTTTAGAAAGGGGGAATACAAAGCTGACCTTTGTGCAGCTTGTGCAAATTGTGCCCTATACTCAGTCACACTCTGTGGATCAGATGAGTTTTAGCCAAACAGCCCAGGGTGATTGGAGATGCGGTAGTCATAGCGATGGGGGTGTTCGCCGAGCCTCCTTTGCAGGAGCATCAGCCATTGGTCACTGACAAAAGGAGCCCAAAACGGTCTCATCAGAATTCATCCTCAGAGCTGTCGGCCAGCAGCATGGCCTGGTCCTGACGGCTGGTCCCAGGCTCTCGAGGTTGCTGGAGAAAACAAATAAACTTAATACTCAACTCAATGTAAGACCAATAACAACTAAAACAAGTAAAAAGTGGTAAATACAAATAGGGTAGTGACCTCTGGCTGTCTGACCTTCCTCCTCTGGTGTTTGAAGCTGTTTCTCCTTTTGCGGTGAATCATCCTGATGCTGTAGAGGGCACCTACGATTAGCAGGGCCCCAGTGATGCCAATACCCACAGGGGCCAACATCCCAGACACATAACCCGCCTGCCGAGAGACGCAGAGGTTAAATGGAGCAGAGTTGTAAACATGTCCGATCCAGGTAAATCCATTTAATCTCTCTTGTACCCGAAAGTGGTCTCTGTAGATTTGAGCTAATGTTACTCAAACTGGAGTAAATGGTTAATTTGTTATGGACTACTTTCAGCCGCGGATTAAAACACATTTGGTTCCCATAGAGATAATTTATGGTAGCAGGACTTACTTTTTATATATTTTTTAAATTCAATTAATGTTTTTTTGTTTCTTTTGTTTCAGTGTTTGTTTGTTCTGGCCCTTGGACAAATCTAATAGAATTTTAATAGTTTTCTGGACAACAAAGAAGCTCTATGGCACAAAGAAAGAAGATCGTGCTTTGGACACAGAGGTAATACTTGTTAGTAGGATAAATTTATTGTTAATGTTGATCTTTTCATTGCATTTATTGACAGTGAGAAAAATAGAGAATGTTGCCAGATTATTCCTTAACACTGGTTAGTGAAGGAGTGAAGGAAACTGTCATTTTTGATTGACAACCAAGATTTTTCAAGGACAGCAGGGGGCAGTCTCACCTTTTCTCTGATCAGCTCTACCCAGCTCCGCACTGGAAGAAAAGAGTCACAGATTTAGCAGGGCAACATCCTATAAAACTATTTCTCCCTTGTACAGTTTAAATGTCTCTGCCTTTCAAGTGAAGGTATGAGCATTAAATACATCCTGTTAAATTCTTAGGCTTATAAAAAGATTTAGAAACCACGTTGTCATACTCAGCCCCTGGTTGCGTTGAACCCATACAGGAGGTGGAGGGATGAGGCTGTACGGAGGAGGCGTTGAGGACGTTTTAGGTGTTTCTGTTAGGTCCTCCTCGCTGTCATCCTCCACTGACTCCTCAGAGTTCTCATCATCCTCTTCTTCATCTGGCTCCTCTGTGGGAAACAAAATAATAAAAACCACCTACTTAGCAGGCAAGAGGGAACGGGCAAATTCATGAGTGAAAATTAAATGTTAAAAAAAAAATCCTAATTTAAATGAAATTGTTTTTTCAATAGGCGATATAACTCGTCTTACCTTCAGACTCCATCTCCTCTAACCCTGATCTGGATTTGTGCATGGCCTGATGGGTTTCCATGGTAACCGTTGTCATAGCATGCTGGAAGGATGAGAAGGAGGGGCCAGTGGTGGGCAAGTCCTCCTGGAGGTTCTGTGTCCTCACAGCGCCTACATGTCCCAAATCACATGGCACACACAGAGAGAAGCGGAGGTTTTTCACTCACTGTGCAACTGCTGCTACAATTCACAGCTCATTTTAACGTCTAACAATGTGTGAGAGCTTTGGTCTGTGCAGCCATTGGTGCCAGTTCATGTCAAAGCCATGTGGAAATGAGATACAATAGGTAATCTGTCACACTGAAGGTTTAATCAGGGATGAATTACAATATCCTAGCAAGGTAATGTGATGAAACGAAGTCTTTCTGGTGCATTAAAGTGCAGATAAGAAACTCTGACTTAAGAAATGTAATAACAACCAGCAGCATTGAATTTGCAAATTCATACAATAAGCAACCATTTTCAAAATGATTCATATTCAAGCATGTTTTTAGAGTCTACTAGTTCACATCAATGATGAAATAACACAAATACCAACCAGAGGCTGCCTAGAAGGAAATGTTGTTTTATCAAAGTGAAACAAAAAAATATCTGATCTTTTTAATAGAGGCAATCATGATGTGACTATAATACAACTATAATTCCACTTTTTTACTAGGTTTTAAATGCATATTCTCATAGAAATTTAGTATACAGCAAACCAATTACATTTGTGATACACACTCTGAAACTAGCAGCTACATCACACTTACGAATTATGACCTTACACTTTGGAACATGGTTGGCAGTAACATGAAGCACATGTGATTAGGAGAAATATGGGTAAATCCTTTATAGCATTATGGTACATTAATAATTGCTCCATAGAGCATTATTCATTTGTTCTGGTTCTGCCACATCACCTCTCTCAGGATGATCATCCGGCTCAGTTCCGGCTCGCCGCTGTGAAACAGACGGGCCCGAGGAGCTGATTGGCTCCGGCAGCTCAGCGCCAGACGTCTGCCAAGGTGACGTCCAGTCTGGCATCAACAGGGGCGGGGCATGCGAGGGACCATCACTGTCTGTCTCCACGGTGACCAGCTGGTCCAGGTCCACCTCTGACAGAGGCATTCCTCCGGTAGCCATGGCAGCAGGAGGCTGAGCACTGCCTGGCACCAGTGTGACCGCTGCCTCTGCTTCAGCTGGTGCCCCCTCTGGTGTGACATCTTCAAAGGGCTCAAAGATGAGAGGCAGAGCTTCTGATGACATGGTGCCCTCTGTGGCTTCATCCTGAGACAGCGGGACCACGGTGTCTGCTGTAATCGTGTCAACACAAGCACAGAGACAGAATGACGGTCAGGATATGTGGCATGGTATTTAATTTCCAAAGGGCAGGATTGTCAGTGAAATACTGCAGTCTAAAAATGTTTTTGTGACCATGCTATATAGGTTCATTTCAGTGAGTAAACTAGGTCAAATGAACGAAGACAAGTTGAGGGTCTTGCAGTTTCTTTAGGTGTTTCTCTCTGCTGACAGCGAAAAATATATGTTTTTGATTGCAAAGCAGCAACTGTAGTCAGCATATAGCCTTTTATGACAGAAAGCAGCTCTTTCGAACCTCTTTGGACATGCAGTTTTCTCATTAGGAGCACTCGGAGCCGAGTTCACAATGCAGCTAAGACACAATGAAAGGAGGATTGTTTGAAAAAAGGCTTCTTTCCAGATAAGAGGCTACCACAGAGGGAGCTGTCACAGGGGAAACTGTTACTGCATATCTCTCAGGCTTTTCCTTTAGTCCAAAGTAAAGTAGGCTGAAAAATGCTTATAAAGACTGCAATCCCTTTACATAATGCTGTTTTGGGAATTGCGTTTTTTTGTCAGCTCCCTTCCTGTTGGGAGGAAGCTTCATCAAACAGACAAGCCCCAAATGGACGGCAGGAACTATATTGGCTCAGACTCCTTTAATCCATTTCCCTTTCCTGCCTCACTGAATAATAACCTGCCTGCTTCTTTACAATAGTCTGGATGAGGAGTGTTGAGGGTGGGAAAGAAAGAGAAGAGGTTTTAGTGTGGGTATATAGATAGAGAGAAAGAGGGGTTGAATCCTCCAAAGACTTGTATAACACACCCTGCCACCAGCCTTTTCCTGGCAGTTGTGTGTGTTCTCTTTTTTTTTTTTTTTTTTTTCAGGCTCTCGTCAGGAATAGAAAGTAATTAGACTGCCACGGGTCCCAGCTGGGGTTCAAAGTGGAGCGTGGAAAAGCGGGCGCCTTCTTTGCCAATCATCAAAGGCAATCTCTGCCACTAGACGTGTCGCTTTCATTTCCGCTTCACTTTTTTAATGAAGCCTCCTGAAACCCTGCAAACTCCAGCACGCCAGAAAAACAGCTTGTTGTAGAGGGAATTCTTATACGTTGACAATGACTGCAGAGCAGTGCCTGACATTTGGGATTAATGACTAATCAGGGGATTACAGAAAGTTTTACCCTAATAAAAATCCATGCATGCCCATTTTCTACCAACATTAATTAAGCTTTTCTAATTTTTCTTGACTTACCTGCACCAGGCCTTGCTGCCTCAGTCCACAGGCTTTCTGGTCCATCCTCTCTGGGCATCAGATTTGGTCCAATTTCAGGTAACAGGGGGTCTGGGAGGGAGGATATTGTAGCTCCACTGTGGCCCCAAATGGACAAAGGTGTGGAGGTCCGAGGGGAGACAAAGACCGAGGGAGGGATGGGACTGTGGGAGGTCAGTTTCTGCATCCTTTCTCCAGGGGTGGGAGGTTCTTTAGAGGACGGCGAGCTCGTTTCTGGGTCTTTATCCTGCAGAGAATCTCCATAACCAGGCAGTTTTGTTCGGTCCTCCCCGCTTTGGTCTTTGCTGGCTGTGATGCTCAGCTGTGGTGGCACTGTGGAGGAGGCAAAAAATCCATCTGGAATCAACCTTGTGGTACTCACAGCTCTGTCCAACTGCTTCCTCCCACCTGTAGGACTTAATATAGGCTCATTGGTGACAAATATGCTCTCTTTTTTACCTTCTGGATCAACAGGCAGCACTGAAACTGCCTCCGACTGCCTTTGAGCGTCTCCCATCTCAGAAGTGCTCCCAACCTTCTTTACCTCGCTCCTTTGGCTCCATGCCTCTCCGCCAGCCTCACTCGGCCCAGATCTTCCATCAAAGCTGTCCCCATTTGCTGTCTGTGTCACAGGAGCTGTCCCCTCAGGTCTTCCATGCGGGCCAGCCCCGCCTCTTGCACCTACATTCAGTATCAGGCCAGTCACATGTTCTGTATCTGAGGGTTCAGACTTTACATCTGTGGTGAGCATTGACCCAACAGTTGTTACTGAGCTGGCACACTGTCTGTCACAGTCACTGTCCTGCCCAGGGGTGAAGTTTTGAAGGGGGACAGGGGTTCCATCGACACAGAGACAGAGGAGCCCAGCCAGGAGGAGGCGATGTAGCGTCCCAAACATCTGCATCTCTGTTTCGTCTCAGTGCCTGCTGAGAGCGGACGCAAAATGACAAATGCTAATGAGCTTAACTGAGGAGTGAACAGTCCTTGTCTGCAACTTCAACGCTTTGCCACCCAGCCAGCAGGCGGACAGGCAAAGCAGAGGTGGCAGTGTCAGGGAGGGAAGAGGGGTGACAACTGCAGATTAAAGGGTCAGAAATCAAAGTGAGGACTCCATATAGCCTGTGATAACCACAGAGAACAGGATTAACTGTGCAGTTCTGCCTGTCTTTGCTTTGATGCTGCAGTTGCACCGTTTTGAATAATTCGGATGAAATTCCTTTTCATCTCAGACTCTTGTGTTCATTTTGTATAAATAGAGGGAAATGCTGGGCGCGCGCGCGCGCGCGCACAGCACACACACACAGGGGGATGACAAATTAGAGAGGAGAGAGAGAGAGAGAATCTGACACAGCAATCCTTAGCACCCCTCCGCACTTCACCTATAAATAGCACCAGGTTTTCTCTCCTCTAGGATCCTCTACAGATGGATCCATGAATGTTACATTTTCACATTTCACATCTCACATCTCTCCAATAACAGAGGGCAAATTTCAAACAGGATATATGCACATTATCAAATGCTGAATTTGATTAAAAACAAAGCAAACATCTGTGTATGGCTCATGTGTTGCTTCACATGATGTGACAGCAATAATCACCTAATAATCAATCACTGCTGTTGGAGAAGGAAGAGAACCGATTGGTATGGTGTTAAGAGGGTGACACCCAGTCTGAGAGAAATCATGCACGGTCCAACAATATTACAATACAACCCACTTTCCTGCCTGCGCACCTCCCCTGTAATCGATACAGTTTTAAATCGCTCTCAGCCAGTATGCTCGCGCAGTCCACCACCTGACAACACAATCGCTCGAGCATTTGCACTGTAAACAAATTGCGGTGTTGAATCACATTTCTCCAATCTTGGCTGCACAGAATTGCCACACTGGAGCTAATCATAGCCGCACACCAGTCACACCAGAACGCGTCCCCCTTAAACCGCACATTCTTGCATATAGAGTCAAAATTCAGATAGGATAACAATAATAATAATTTTTTTAAAAATTGCCTTTACCTTCCAGAGTTCATGACGGATCGTTGTGTCTGGAGGACGCAGAGCTTCTCTTGCAGTGTGCAACTAAAATAAAAAAAATTGCAGTTCGTACGGATACAAATTCAGGATAGTCTGGTGTGGGAAGGAGAGGCTTGTTGTTGTGCAGCTCAGCGTCACTGACTGAAAGTCTCAGTCTTCTCTACGTATGTCCGGCTGCTTCAGAAGTGCTGCCACCAAATGCTTCAAATCTGCAGGATTCCTTCCAACTGGCGGCTTTGACATATGATTTCACCATAAACCGAGCTGTTGCCTTCCCGTGCATCTATTCCTTCTATTCCATATATGTATTTTCATTGTTTTCATTGTTTTTTGGATCATATGAGGCTGCTGGTGGTGCTGAATGGACAGCTCCTTCACCTCAAGTTAAGGGTCGCCTGCTGCTCACAGAGAGCAGAGGGGCCACAGAAGGTTGTTATTGTCCTCGTTTACTAAGAAACCGTCTTTCACTGTCGGTTTCTTTTGCTGTAACCTAAATACTACATAAACCTTTTTTTTTTATCAACAGATTGTAAAATTGATTTAAGTGTAATCAGCTTTGTTACAACAGGGGCAAATGTATTGTATAATGTTATAATATTTTGATACATATACATTTTTAGTAAATTAACATGATTTACTATTTTAAATGGCATTTATCAATAATCATGATTGATACCTTTATCTAAACTTACATAGTGGTGACATTACACACTGGTTGCTGTTATATTTAACACATTCATTTAGATTAATTCTAAACATAACATGTCAAAAATGGAAATCAACACATATAATTGAACGATCTGTTTAGATCACGTTTAGACTAAGTAATAGGCTAAAGTTCAAGGGAAAAGAAGTTCAAAGAAATAACCTGATTCATTTATTTCTTTAGATAATTCTATTCAATGCTTTACTAATGTAAAATATTGTCATTTGGGGGCTTTTGCAAGCACATATTGATACATATCATTGTTTCTGATTAAATCAGTATATATTTCTGCGACTCATTAAAATCTTCATGCCACCCTCTTGCTTTTTTTTTCTAGAAGAGTCCCTGCACATGCAAAAGTTGATTTCAACTTATTTTTAATGGAATTGTGGCTCATGTGCAAGTTGACATTCACAGTTAAGTGTATTTTCATATCAGTAGTTATCAGAACCAAAAACTAATTGTAAAACGAAAGGAGCATATAGAAGAATATAGTGGTGTGTTTGGTGTTAGTGAGCACAGGAGGTATCAGTGATTATCCACGTTCTTACAGTGATTAATTATGCACTCCCAGCTTTTACACTGCATTATGTTGTGTACAAGTAGACTTGTGGTACTTCTAAAAATAAAGAATTGTTTTTTGAACAAGCGGATGTGTTTCTTCTCTGTCCCATTCAATTAGCACAGTTACACCAAAATAGCACTGCATACAAGCATGAGCACTTGGTATAAGTAGTGGTGTATGTACATTTTTATAATAATCTTAAGTTACATATCATGCCGGTCTGCACAACTGCACAGTTTCAATTGTATGTTACTTTCCAAAAAGTCAACAGTGGTATCAAAGATGCTGAAGGTTTAAGGGACTCAAACTGTTGCCATGGATGAGGTGGGAGGTGACACTGAATACAGGAAATGCAGAATGGTAATTGTATAACAAGCAAGTAAAATCATTTTGTATTTATTTGTATCAGATAAATGTGATTCATGTGACACATAGATTTTAGCCTTAATATGAGAACTTTCCACGGACAGCCCAGCAACAGTGGACAAAGCTTAAAACACATTTACATGCAGGAAAAGTTCCGGGGACCCCTTGTGGTGGTCAAGTGAGGTTACACCATCAGCCTCCATGTGTTACATCTGTGTGTGTCGATAGTCAGAGAGACAATCGTTATTTGTTTTATGTTCCCAGAATTGCAGCCCTTTTATGACAGAAAACCTCTGAAGCAACATTTTGATTCAGTGGAAGTCAATTTATTACAGCTCTTCACTGTTACAAATGTTTCTTTGTCCCCCCCCCCCCCAAAAAAAATACAGGGATATTCAATGCTTAAGGATGATATATGGACAATATATGATAATAATAAATAATTGATAACAAACTGATAGAAAATGTACTTTGAACTTGTCCGTTAGGCCTGCATTTGGATGATCTTATATACAATGTGTGTTTTTTTCTCTTTGTATTTGAAAAGTCTCCATGTTACTGATTAATCTGGACAGGTGAGGACATTTTACCGGTTGAACAATATAATAATAATAATACTAGTAATAGTAGTAACAATAGGCAGTCTGATCATTTTCTGCCTACTTTTGATCAGGCGACGGTATGTGACGTCATCGCGTCTGTGAAGACCCGACCCAGCCCAACAACAGGAAGACAACAGATCTTCTTTATTTCTTTATCCTTTTGAAACGATGCACATGAGCGCTAAATACTGACATTGTTGCATTAACAGGTTGATAAAATGCCATTATTTGATGGACTGGGAAGTGGAGGAGAGAAGACTGCGATCGTCATTGACTTAGGAGCCGCGTACACAAAGTGAGTCTTTACAACACAGACGGTCACTCGTTATATTTGTTTTCTTCACTACAGCCGCCCACGTCTTGGTACCTTTAGGTGTAATGCAGCTTTAAACCCGCACAGGATTCATATTTGTATAAAGTGGAGATGATGTAGCGGTGTTAGCCCCGTCAGTGCTAACTAGTGTCAGCTAATGCCAATGCAGAGCTCCGATCAAATCCAATAAGTGAAGACAAACAACTGCACTGAACGCCATTAGCTGCATTTGGGACAGCCTACATACTTCATTTCTAATCTAAAGATAGCTAAACTTTACCTAAATGTTCTGGTTATAAACCCACAGAAGAGTTTTATTGTACTGGTTGTTTAAGATGTAGTGTTGACTGCTGTTTGAGTGACCTACATAGTTGTTTGTGTTTAAGTAGTTAACTTACTTTGTAATCTGAAAGCTGTCTGGTACCAAAAGACACTTCACCTAACTCTACCTCATATGCCACACATCTCCACACATTTAGAGTATTTACAGTGAGAACATTACTGAAGATTTATCAAGGTTGCCACAATAAAATATCTAATATAAGTCATTGGCAGTGTATATGGCTTCAGTGCTGCACACTATACACACACTGTGCTCTGTGGGGTGTATAAAATGTTGATTCACTTCATTCTAGTGTTGTTATTTTGTCACCTGTCGGTTTTCTTACTGGACTTTTAGTCAGAAGGGTTATAGATGAAAACACTGAGGGCCTGAGGCAAGTCACATGGAGACCAAGAGGACTGTTATCTTCTCTTTTAATAATGATGTCTTTGTCCACAGTTACTGTCCCTCAACGGTTGACACAGAGCTGCACTCTTATTCTATTTATATGCACCCTAGTAAATTCGCTTTCCATTTCATAACATGATTTTGTGGCCCCTTGAGCCAGATTTTGGTTCCTCACTAAAAAGTAATGAACATATTGGTTTAGTTTGTACACAGTTCACCAGTATTGGTATAAATATATATGTCGATATCTTCTCTGCACATCCTCTAGCAGCCCGTCTGACTCTTTCATTTTCTTGCAGATGTGGCTTTGCAGGGGAAACGGGGCCCAGGTTCATAATTCCCAGCGAGATTCGGAAACCAGGACAGCAACAGGTGAGACGCCGCTGTGCTTTGCTGAAGGAAGGATGTTTGGAAATTGTGAAATATGTTAATGTTTTATGTAATGTCTCACTTTCAGGCCGTCAAAGTGGTTCAGTACAACATCAACACAGAAGAGCTTTATGTCATCCTCAAAGAGTTTATCCATATACTGTACTTCAGGTGAGACTCTGCTGCATTAGTTATTCATACTAAGTGTTAAACACCCTTTTTACAGAACATATACCACTTCTAGCTCAAAATGGGATCCAGATCAAAGATTGTCTTCCTATTTGTCTCAATCAGGCACCTGCTGGTGAACCCTCGCGACAGAAGAGTGGTCATCATCGAGTCCATCCTCTGCCCATCTCACTTCAGGGAGACGCTCACCAAGGTTTTCTTCAAACAGTTTGAGGTATGTTAACTACACAGATCCTGTAGGACACCGCTAATTTAATATACTTATTTTTGAAAATTCATTGCCAAAATTTCCCACACAGACTCAAGTCTGAGAAGAGTAAACACACATCTTTTTGGTGCGTAAGCAACAGTGTAGTGAGTGTGTTAAGTGTTATTCTTTGATGGTGTTTTCTAGGTGCCGTCTGTGCTTTTTGCCCCAAGTCACCTCATGGCCATCATGACTTTGGGCATCAACTCTGCTCTGGTGATGGACTGTGGCTACACAGAGACGTTGGTCCTTCCTGTATCCTTTTCCTGTTATCTTGGAGTCTTTGACTCCTTAAAGAAATCGATGTATTTGCTTTCTTTTGTGGAATTAGGAGAAAGGATAAGGTGTGAGATTTTCACAGTACAATAACTGTCTCAGAATATGTCACAGTATAAGGGTATACAGTATTAGACCATTATTATTATTATTATTATTATTATTATTATTATCAGGTACAGTGACCCTTAAATGAATGAAACAAAAAGCTTTATCATAATTTTACAAAATATATTGTCCTATATTTTTTAAATTATGCCAATACAGTTAAATTCAATATTTATTGTAAAATAACACTAATACAGTAGTACAGTACATTAACCAACTGATTATGAAACCACAATGTCTTGTTTTGTTTTTCTGAATTTTTAAATAATACAGTGTGTAGTTGTTGTAAGGAATCATTGTCAGAGCTAGGTTAGCTGCTTTGTGCTAAGCTAAGCTAATTTAACCCATCCTTGGTAAGTCTGCTGTGCACAAATAGGTGTCTGACTTACTGATGTGTTATTTTATTGATATTTCTGAATTTTAAGAAAAGGAGTTTTTTTTTTTTAGTAAACTTTGAGGTTGGTATTTGTGCGTTACCACCTTAACTGTGAAATCAGGTTTATGAGTGCACTCCTATATTGCCAGCTTGGGAGGCTTTGCCTTTGGGAGGGAAAGCCATCCATAAGTAAGTAGCTCTCTGACAGATAAAAAGAACACTTATATTTCACACACTGGTTTGTGCTGATTGAAAATCATGGGACTGTAAAATTGAACCTTCTTCGATGTGCTTGTTTCCTCCCATAACCGCATGTGTCTGTATTTCTTGTAGAGAATTAGATGGACTTCTTGTGGAACAATGCACTGTGGACACGGACACCACCACTGGGCAGAGTGTACCAGCTGTCATTGGTAATTACAGAAAACACTGTGTGTCTGTGTTAAACGCATGAACTTGTAACTCTGATATGGACTGCTGATTTGTTTTACAATGCAGAGAGCTGGGATATATACTGTCTTTGACCCATTGTGCATCATTTACTATTCATAAGAGGAACTTGTTTCTGTGTGACAATTTGAGTTTGAATTTGTGAATTATAGATACGGTATGCACACAGTCTATTTTAGAGTTTTCTCTCCATACTTTTTTCTTGATGGAGGAAACCAAACTGAGTCATTGTGTTGAGCTTTGAGATCTAAAGCTGCAGCAGAGTGAGAGAAGCTACACACATATGTATCAATAATTAAGGCAGACAGCAGGCCAACTCACTCGACTGGACTGTTGAACGAGCTAAATGTCTGCAGTAAGCACAGAAGGGCTGAGATCTCTGTAATCAAAGCCCAAAATCTGAAGTCCATACAGGATTTGTAAATTGTCTATAAGACAGAAGAGACAAAATACTACAAGTTTCTTCTGCAACAGCTTTCTAAGTGTTTATCCAAGCAGTCATTTTCTGCAGTGTCATCTCACACGTTCCCCAAACGCTGATTCAGCCTCATCATAAATCTTACTTGGAAGTGAAATGAGAGAAATAGCTGATTTATGCATAAATGAACCAAAGAAAATTAAGTTTCCCTTCATTTATATCTTCTTTTTCATCTTTTTTTCAGGGACCATCCCAGAGGAGACTGTGGAGGATATCAAGGGTAGGTCTGACTACTTCTTTTTTTGTGTCTCACTTGGCTCCTGTGAGAGTAATGGATAACGCTTATTATTTATTCCCTTCAAAGGCAGAATTCCCGAAAGAAAACAACACACAAAAGATCCAAACTTCTAGTGAGACTGTGGATGCTCTTTACCATCCCTCCACAATATATTATACTGTATTTTAATTTATTTAAATAAAAACAGACTCTATTTAGGGCAGCCTAATAAATGTAGGATGTAATTTTCTACTTGGTAAATTGTAGGCTTCAGCCTTTTATTTTAATACAAGAATGAGTTTAATTTACTGTAATTTATGTCTGCAAGAAAGGCGTTTTGTATTATGGATTAATTTGTTTTTTAATTCTTTCATGATTTAAATAATCATTAAGGACATTGGTTAAAAGGTAGTCCTCAGTTAGAAATGTTATCCTACCTTTAGCTCGGATGCATGCTGATTGGTTATGTTTTGCTTCCTGCAGTCAGAACATGTTTTGTCAGTGATCTGCAGAGAGGGCTCAAGATCCAGGAAGCCAAGTTTAACCTGGACGGTACAGCTGAGGTAAGTCGAATGTTTGTGTACAGCTTTTAATGCTAGTTATTTACTTAGGGAGCCTCCATCTAAATGTAAATCATGGGAAATTTATATTATTATAAATTATCGGGCTAGTTAAATTACAGCCGATAAATTATCGGTTGATATCATTAATAATTTATTTTGAATTCTTATGCAAAACTATTGATAAGCTTTATGTTTCATGAAAGCCAAAGTAAGTTTTTTAATGAGTTAGAACTGTTGTTTGTTGTTGTTGTGTTAATAATAGTGATGTCAGATTTGGTTAGAACAGAGCTATTGAATATTAAATCATCCTTCTTTTCTCCATACATTCAGCCTTTCTTACCCTCAGGTGTGTAATAACTACATGTTGTGAACTTCTTTTTTTAAAATACAAAACCAAAACAAAAATTAGCGGTTATCTTATCGGTGAAATTACCGGCTATTGTATTGACTGAGAAATAATCCATATTGTCTCTAATCTAAATGTTTACGTTAAGTAATGCACTGCTGTAGATTTATTTAAACTTCTTCCTCCTTGTGAATGTGTCTGTAGCGGCCAGCCCCTCCTCCAGATGTTGATTACCCTCTGGATGGTGAGAAAATCCTGCACGTCAATGGATCAATCAGGTAGTTTGTTAAATGATACTGTTTGGATACTGTTGGCTTTAACTGAGCAGACAGACCACAGAGATTTAGTTCTTACTTTTCTGTAAATAAAAAATAGAATATTTTTCAACTTGATATATTTGCACGTGTTTTGTAAATACTTTTTCAGTATATAAAATTAGGTTGTGTGGTGGTAATGTCTTCCTTGGTCCTCTGTACCATCTGTCTGTGAGACAGCACATTTGTCCGTTAACCTGTTTGTTGTCAACACTTTTTCTGTCACAAAATTGTCGCTGATTAGATTTTCTGTTTTTCCCAGGGACTCTGTGATGGAGATCCTGTTTGAACAGGACAATGAAGAGAAGAGCGTGGCCTCACTGATACTTGACGCTCTGGTCAAGGTAGAGAAAAGTTATTCTTTCTGTGTAACATTCGAGATAAACATCAAATGTCTTTCTTTGTCATGACAGGAACAAACAATAGGAAACAAGTTTTTAACTTGGGAAAATAACCTAGTTTTGCTGTTTTTTAAAAGCAGGAGTTTGCTTTAAACAACCCATTTCACACATGCAGTCTTTCTTTTTTCAAAGCAATCTGTCCAAGTGCAGTCCAAAGTGTCACACAAAGTGATGGAAGTAACTGTGTGAAGAATTTAAAGAGCTTGAAAGAGGAGTTCAGGCCCTCTGTACTGTCTCACATCCGCACACCATGCTGTGTGTTGTGTAAGTGGGCCAACACGCACCTCGTTTGAAGCTTGATTTCATTTAATAATCAGAGGGTCTAATTTATCTGTCTGCACTGGAATCCTATTTCTTCTACACAAATACCACAAAATCCAGGTTTTTAATCGAGTTATCGATGTTTTTATAATAACTTGACGCCTCTTCGGTTTACTGAATTAGAGCTTTTTTAAAATTCTGTAGACCAGTGTTTATCAAACTCTTTCACCTCAGAGATTCATTCACCAGTGGTACTTGTTCTATAGTTTGAGAACCAGTGCTGTAGAACATGCATGTTGTGGCACTAGTATGACCTTACGTGGCCCTCTTTGTGGCTTGGTTGACATTATTTCATGTGGATTTCGCCTCACTAATCTTCCCTTTTAAGGTCTACATCAGTTTATTCCTAATTACCCTGCTGTAAACATTCACCGTCTTTGGCAGGAGGAATGCAGCAACCCGGTTTGTGCTCCATGTTGTTCAGACGCGCAGTTAAGTGTACGGTTTGACTCTGCGTGGTTGCCATGACGGCGCTCGGCCGTGGCCATTCCGTGTTAACTGAGAGCAGTTTTGTTTTTCCATGTGGGGATCAAGTCAGCACACGACGGCCTAATTAATCTCAGCAGCAGTCCAGCAGCAGCAGACATTACACAGCCTCGGAGTTCGACTGTAGCAGCAATACGTCTACTCTGCTCAGGATATATTGACAGTGATATTTGATTAGAGATCCACACGAGAGAGAAGGCACTGCAGTAATGCCTACTTCAGCTACCTTCATCCATCACAAATTCGGTTTAGTCTGCACCTGTCCTGAAAAGCAGTAAGTGCTATCCTGTAGTGGTAGAACTGCTGATTCCTCCTGCCTCTGCCATCTTTTCTCCTACTGCACTGCTATAAGGGAAAAAAAAAAGTGGATGTGGTGGTTCTTTCATTTAAAGTGTTTCGTTTGCTGAAAAGGCGTGATGGTGTAAAATGATTAAATTAAAGAAGCAGACCGTTGCACATTTCCCTGGCTGCAAAGCAAGGGCTGTAGACATTGACTTTTCCACTCTAATCTGTCATATAAGGGTGAGAACAAACAGATGACATTTATGTATAAGTAACTAGTAATAAGTATAATTTGCTAAATGTATTTCCCTGTAGTGCCCCATTGACGCACGCAAGGTGCTCTCCGAGAACCTGGTGGTGATCGGAGGCACGGCCATGCTGCCAGGTTTCCTGCACCGTCTGCTGGCAGAGATACGCCTCCTGGTGGAGAAACCCAAGTACAGCAATGTGCTGGCCAGCAAGAGCTTGCGCATACACGCTCCCCCTGCCAAGCCCAACTGCACCGCCTGGCTCGGAGGTTAGATATGAGATTTTATTTAAAATATTTATCACTGCCTGCCGAACTGAAGACTTTCCGAAATCTAAAATACTGCATTGTGATAAATATTCTACATCAGCATACTTCAAAAACCATAACGTCAGCCGTTTTTTAGGTGATAAGCTTTTGGAAGAATATTGTTTGTGCCCTCTCATATCATCTCATGTTCATATCGTCCTGTTCAACAGGGGCCATCTTCGGGGCACTGCAGGACATCCTGGGCAGCAGGTCAGTGTCACGAGACTACTACAACCAGACAGGCCGCATCCCAGACTGGTGCTGCTTGAGCTCCCCTCCTCCTGAATCTCTCTACGAAGCAGGAAAGACCCCTCCTCCACTCATGAAGAGAGCCTTCTCCACAGAGAAGTAGAATATGCTGTAACATCATTCAAACATTGTACTTTCCTTTACCTGATAGAACAGTTCAGTAATCTTAAATGTAACATCTCAACACATACAGTATCTTATTAATGTGTTAACTACAACAAGATGTAATGTCTAGGAGTCACACCGATGTTTTTGTATACACTGATTGTGAGCTGTTTGATGATCAGGTGAGCTGGTTTCTGACCTTACCAGGCAGAGCAGATATTTCTGATGATTAGAGTGATAGTCTTTCAGATCCTGTGCGACATGCAGCCATGTCTCCTGTTTCATTTGAAGTCTCGTAAGACGCTGAACTTGTACGTGCTCACTGTCACGCCACTTTGTTCTGGATTTTGTTGGAAGTTAAACTAAAAAACACATATTCAGCAGAAATGTTTTCCAATAACATGCTTTAGTCATCTATTTGTCAGGAAATACTACAGGAAATGTTAATAAACTTCTGAGAAATCTGACATAATCCGGTATGGTGCATAATGACATGTGGA